TATTCTTCACATCTGCAGTTCTATAAAAGTGTTCTCACCACGATACTAATAAGTCTTGTGAGAAAACAAGAATATAATCACAAATTGTAGTTTCTATTTAATAATTTCAATACCATTCTGTGCTTTTCCTAATTACCCAAAACTCTTCTATATGATTCCCACGGGAGCATTTATGTAAGATTGGTACTGTTTACTGTTACTACTGTGTCATATTACCGTGAAATATATGGTCCAAATACACACACACACACACACACACACACACACATACACTTTATTTCCCTCTCTTTATTAGCCAGTAGCGATTTAATAATATGAGAGGGATCATCTTCGTAAACTTAGGTGGCACCATTCATCCTCATCCATGATTGGCTTATCGTTGGGCTATTTCCTCTCGGTAGTTTGTCATTGGCTAGTATTGCGAATCTTGTTTTCATCCTTTAACCTTTAGAGGGCTTTTTTCCAGTTGACGTTGTGGTGCGTGCGAGCGTGCGTGCGTGCGTGCGTGCGTGCGTGCGTGCGTGCGTGTTATTCTCCATCTCCATAAAAACACAATTCCATGCGTTCTTACTGTTTTTCTACTTACACTGTTATACGTACTGTATGTATAAATCGTTTCCTGTGACGTTTTTTAATAAACATTGAACCGACCAAAGGTTACATGATATACACTATTTCAACACGTTCCCTGTAAGCCAAGTTCGTGGTAGATTCACACCTTACAAGCCAGCCTCTATACCTCGGATTAGGATCTATTACAGACCTTAATCCTTCCATAATACTTGCACCATTTCCTTTCATATATACCAAGCGGAGCGTTCAGCTGCGATATACCAGGTTAAGAATTATTACAGCTCTGAAATGTTCCATAATATTTACACCTTTTCCTCTTTCATATTTACCAAGTGGAGCGTTGTGAGCGCATTTCAGCCTCACCTGTGACTGCACCTGTAGTGCCAAATACCTCAGCAATCCTCTTACCTCCCACCGCCTCAGAGAGTGTTGCATGTGGCAGCGGTGTGTAGTGCGGGGTATTGACGGGCTGCAGTGTTTCTCTCATACATACTATATGCAGTATATATATATATATATATATATATATATATATATTTCTCTTTCTCTTTCTCCATCTCGTAGGTCATGCACCCAGCTGTGTTAGCCCTGTAGTTCAAGCATTTAATACACTTGAGTAGTACTGACAGTTTTGCACGTTAATAAAAGTTAGGGGACAAAATTAACTTACAGGATCTCTGTGAGTTTGGTCTTAAAACCTTTCACTGGGTTAGAGCGTCCTGCCAGGTGACTATAGCAGACCAGCCAGGTAGTGGCACACGATCGATACAAAGTATACACTCGAGGTGGTAGACTGTACCATGACTCACAGCTAATATACACTGTTAGCCACACTCTTTCAGTTGTGTACACAAACGGCATTTATGTAAAACACACACACACACACATACAGTGTGTGTATATATATATATATATATATATATATATATATATATATATATATATATATATATATATATATATATATATATATATATATATATATATATATACAGAACTGTTACAATACAATATCAAGGTCACAGCAGTACTCCCACACTCTCCCTAGTCTTACCCCCACCAATCCTCTATCAACTCTCCCCCAGACCCCTGGTGTCTGTAGTTATTCGTAGCCGCACATAACACGACAGCAAGAGCTAGTCATACACACGATAACAAGACCCAGAGAAGATAACCAGAACCGTATAAATTATAAGTTTCTACTCTACTCATTCCTCAGACGCGGGCGGGGGCAATATAGTGCTGATCAACATGAAAGCATAAAGTCGGTTAATTTTGACGTGGGTGTAAGTGAAGGTTGGTTGTCTCTAACACCTGTGCCCCTCATAACCTTCTTGGCTGTCTCATTTGTGTCAAGGTATAATGATTATTTTCTAATTAATTAACAGAGCATCAGTACTTATACCTGATTTTTTGCCAAGATAGATAAAGAGCCAGTGTGACATTTGCCTAATGACTCGTTTTGTATCATTATTTGTTCGTTTTTCTTCTTCTTTTTTCATCTGTTCATGCAGGTGTTGTGTTTATTATTTTATTATCCACCTCATCATTTTCTTATTGGCTTATTTCTTTCTGCTACCTGCGGATTTTTTTTCTCACAGCAAATGGAAAAATAAGTCTCTCTCTCTCTCTCTCTCTCTCTCTCTCTCTCTCTCTCTCTCTCTCTCATTTTCTTTCTTGTATCAGTCAAGTTCTTGAATACCAATCCTGGCTGATCGATTGACTCACTCACTCACTCACTCTGAGAGAACCGTCTGCTACACGGCCACTTTACCCGAGGTGTACAGCACTGAACGAGCTGTCACCAGACGTACGATTATTACTGTAATTATATTTTAAGTTGTATCTATAGATTTAAATCATCATTAAGAAGTGTGAATGATTTTTTTTTATTCCTAATAGGTAAAGTAACAATGCGAATAAAAATAGATTATTTTTCACGTTTTCAGTACAGTAAGAGAAACCAGCCATAGACCAGTACAATATCTTCAAGATATACAATAGCTTTAACTATCCCTTGTAGAGGTGAAGAAAACATGTCTGCTACCACTTATTCTCTTGTTTATTTGTTTTTAACTTATCTATATTGTCTATTTATTTATTTATCTATTTTTTGAGGCGGAGTATTAAAAAAATATATATTTCTCCTCCAGGAAGGTATTGAGGAGGAGGGTCGGGTGGTCATATAATCAAATTTAGTGTTAATAGCCTGACTGGCAGCGGGCTGGACCAGAACCTCCAGCTCCCAGAATCTCATTACAAGAAGAGAAAATTAGATCTCTGGTTTAGATTCGTCTCAAGGGGGGAGAGGAAGGGAGGGCGGGCTTTGGAGAAGGTGGGTAGTGGAGGAGATGAGGAAGAGGGTGGGGACGGAAGTGAGAGTAGGAGAAAGAGGAGGAAGGGAAGAGAGTAAGACGGAAGGAGGAGAATTAAGATAGGAGGTGGAAAATGATAAGTAATAGTAGGCGGGGGGGAGAAGTAAGAGAGGAGAGGGAAAAGCGGAAGGAGAGAGAGAGAGAGAGAGAGAGAGAGAGAGAGAGAGAGAGAGAGAGAGAGGCAACGAAAAAAAGAAGAGCTAATATACGAAGGGAGAATAGTAGAAAATATAACACAAGTAAAGGATGGGAGAGAGGAAGTGAATAAAAGAAGAACTGGGAGGAAAACGGAGTTGAAGTAGAGAAAGAAAAGGTGCAGTAGAGAGGAGAAAAATTTGAGTGACGATAAGAGTAAGAGAAACGGAGATTGGGAAGGGAAGAGAATTACTTGGAGAAAGGAAACAGAGAATATGAAGGGACAAACGAAGAGGAAGAAGAGAGAAGAAACATGGATGGGAGAAGTGTGTGTGTGTATGTGTGTGTGCATGTGTGTGTGTGTGCCCGTACCGTGGAGTTGCAACCAAGAAGTTATGATTAGGAAGACCAAGTTTGCCCACCACATCTTGTACATTATGCGGGTCGCCGTCACCACCAGCGTGTTGTGTCAGGAAGTGAGTGGGCCATACCACTGACGTCCTGCACCAGTTATCTGCACCAAGACTGTGGCAACACGTACAGTGCAAAATGGGATTTGCAGAAATGTCAAGAAGAAATGTGTGATTCTGTCAAGTTGTGTATCTTTCGTGTTTTCAGAGACATAACTTATTGGTGTTAGCAGTGAAACTAGACATTACTTCATCTTGACTCTATTTAAATTATATTATTCTTCGTCTATATAAAGTTCACTACAATAGAAATGTTGGTCTGTTAAATAAGAGCGGCCATCGCCCTATGGAAACACCGACAGTGTTGGCGAGTGATGAAAAATAATGTTGTTTGTAGAATAATACAATTTATCTACAGTGTGTTAGTGGTCAGCTGGTAATGGTGTTTGTGGCTGATCCTTTGTTAACTTCATTAAACGGTGTGTGTGTGTGTGTGTGTGTGTGTGTGTGTGTGTGTGTGTGTGTGTGTGTGTGTGTGTGCGTGTGTGTGTGTGTGTGTGTTATTATTATTCTTATCATTATATAACCATCACCATTGGGTACTATCATATCGTAGTCCAATAAGCTAAACTTAAATATCATCTGTGACCTTAGACTAAATATGTGTGATAAAATGATTTTCGTAAATCTTTATTTACTCGAACATAATATCTCGTTCTTTGTATTTTACTTATTGTTGTAGTTAACGGTGGAAGATATTGTCTTATATTCGCTAAAATGCCAAAAGGAAGAGACCCAGTTTCATAAAAATTACACAACTTTTCAACATTGTGAGCCACTTGATGTTCCCTTACAGTATAGTGTGAAGGGAGTGATGTTGTGGTACAGGAGGAGAAGCGTGACACGTCCTACTCTCAACCATATAATTTTTTGTTTGAGAGGTGTAAGGCAGGTCATTTCTATCCTGTGTTTGTGTAAATATATTTGAGGCCAAGAGGATGATTGTTATGAGTTGCATCAACCCAAGTATTAGTGGTGATGGGCGAGGAAAAGTTTTGTTAGATGGTGGTGGGATGTGTCTATCATACATAAATAAGCAAGAAATTATTCAACTGCATCAATAACATTGCTGAAGAAGAATTAGATGACTAACTAAATGTAAATAATCTACCAGCAGGCGAAGTTTGGCAAAGCTTGGCGGTATAAGGGCAAAAATATAAATTCAGAGGAATAAAATACGAAATAGTTTCCCTTTATAAGAACAAATGTAGATGTTGTTAGCAAATGTGTTGAAGATGACGGCAGGATGACCAGGGAAGACTGTGAACGGAAATTTTTGATACCCGAAAAAGCAGAGTAAAATCTTATGGTGTATTTGGCTAAGAGAGCTTCTGCACTATTACAGACAACAGGGAAAGGCTTTCTGTGTTTCGGTGGCTAGAAGACCTTTTCTTCCTTTTCGAAAAAAATCACGAAAAAATAAATAAAAACACAAGAAAAAACAAACCACTTTCAATGTGACCCGCAAGCTCTCCCACCGATGATATTCCACTATCCTGAACATCGTCCATAAGTGGAGGCAAAGGTTTTTGTTGACCCAAAGTCTTTAATATATCAAGTTCTACCTTCTTCATCGAGCCTTGGCACCAGACATGTCTCAAGCACTCGTGAGATTACATGACTTTACAGAGGATAGCATCACAAGGAGTTTAGTTGGTTAAGACCAGGGACACTGAGTTAAGCTATATTGCAATGCTGATGAGAGGTCGGAGGCACCTTAAGACAAAACTCGGAAATATCAGTTACAATAACGAGTCAAACAGAAGTTCAAAAGCTGAAACCTTTTGGGCAGTGAGTGTTGGGTTAGCACCACCGTGAGAGCCCATTGTAAAGAAAACAAAATGTGTTCAGTGTAAAGAAGTGAGGGAACCTGTATCCATCGTATGACTGACTGGTGTATGTGTTCGGATGTATTGCGACTGTACATTGAAATCTTCAGCAGCTGACTAAGACCATGTAATATGTTCATGCGTATGTTTATCGCTATTTCCCAAGATAATATGTTGTTTGAGGGCTTAGTCGGACGATCGTCCCTAAAACTCGTGACCATTTACAGTAAATATGAAGAAAACAGAGATTGGATGATTGATGAGAAATAACAGACAAATATATATATATATATCGATAAAAAATATATATATTTGGGATGAAATAAAGTTAACTCGGATGCAGACCAAGTAAACCACATGATTACCAAATTGTAATTATCTTTGATCAAAATAATTCATAACCACCTTGGGAATTATGATACAAAGTAGTGTGTTCTCAGTAATACCTGCCGCCGTCCACAGTAGGAGGGGAGCACTGGTGACCCCTCGAAAAAATAATGTTATTCATACAATTATGTAATTTATCAGAGGAGAACAGGGAGTATTGTTTGTGGCCAGGACCTTATTAACTATACTAAAATTGTGCTGTGTATGAATGTATGTAGGGTTATATGTATACGTGTGTCTGCTCTGTGTATGTGTACGTGTACTTTTTATATTATTGGCTGGGATTTTGTGTGTGTGTGTGTGTGTGTGTGTGTGTGTGTGTGTGTGCATTTATATATGTGTTTCACTGTGTATTATATTCATACACATAACCAAAAAGAGAGAGAGAGAGAGAGGGCAAAATGGTATCAATAAGTGAACAGTGTTCAGTCATATCCAGGTTTTCTTATAAAAAAATATAAATATTTCCACAGTTCACTTATTATTGTACACAACATCACAAAATTAAATGCCCGCTCGTGATAACAGCGAGCAGTATAAGAAACTATGTTATTTTGTAATGATAAAAATTATGAATGTAAATTGGGTTAAGAACATAAGAATGGAGGAAACTGCAGCGGGCCTATTGGCCCATACTGGGCAGTCCCGTTTAAACCCAACCCCTATCGCTCATATATCCATCCAACCTATGTTTGAAGCAATCCAGCGTATTCGCGTTAATGATGATGTTTAGTAACTTGTTCCACTCATCCACTACTCTATTTCAAAATCAATGTTTACCTATTTCGCGCCTAAATCTAAATTTGTCTAATTTAAAACCATCGCTACGAGTTCGCTCCTGGTTGGATAGTTTGAATACCTTTGTTATATCAATTTGTTTAGCCCCGACTTCCATTTATACACTTCGATCATATCGCCCGTCACTCTACGTCTCTCGAGGGAGTGCAAATTAAGATGCTTTAACCTGTCTCTGTACTCAAGGTTCCTAATGCCCGAGATTAGTCTTGTCATTCTCCTCTGAATTCTTTCTAGGGATTCTATAACCATTCTGTAATACGGTGACAAGAACTGAACTGCGTAATCCAAGTGAGGTCTCACAAGCGCAAGGTATAGTCTTAGGTTAACCTCGCTAGTCTTGTAACCAACACTCCTTTGTATGAACCCAAGTACTTTGTTAGCCTTGTTTCGAGCAAATACACATTGTTGTTTTGGTTTACGATTCATACTTATCATTAATCCAGAATATAACTCGCGTCCATTTCCACGTTATCTTTATTAATCATGGTGTGTATATAACTGTGTGTTGTGTGTTGTTTGTGTTTGTCTGTGTGTGTTTAGTTAGAGAGAGGAAGAGAGACTGTTTGTATGTGAGTCTGTATATTTGTATGTGTACATATGTGCGTGTTTTATATAGGTGTGTATGTTCACATGTAGGTGGAGGTCGCCGTCACTGGTTCAACGTACACAGGTACAGTGACTCCCTACAAGACTAATGGCATGACACACTCATCTGACGCACTCACCTGACGCACTCACCTGACGCACTCACCTGACACACTCACCTGACACACCTGCTGGCACACTTATCTGACGTACTCACCTGACGCACTCATCTGATACACTTGCCTGACGCAACACCTAACACACTTGCCTGACGCAACACCTAACACAGCACCTGACACAACACCTAACACAACACCTAACACAGCACCTGACACAACACCTAACACGCCCACATGACACAACATTTGACACACCAACCAGACACACCTGCTGAACTTACTTACTTGACACACCCACCTGACACACCCACCTGACACACCCACACAGCACACCCACCTGACACACTCACCTGGCCACACTCACACAACGCTTTACCTGTGTACCCACCTGACACACCCACCTGACACACCCACCTGACACACCCACCTGACACACTCACCTGACACACTCACCTGACACAACACTTGCACACTAACCTCACACAAAAAAGAAGCAATCAATATGTGTCTAAAAAAAACCAAGTTAGATTTAAAATAGAAGCATCTTTCCTAAATTCTGCCTGATAAAATATTCTACAACCGAAAACTTCCCGACCAATGGTAAAAACTATAATTTAGTTGATGTAATTATATTCTAGTGTTTATCATAACAATAACTCAAGGATCTTGGACGTGGTGTGTGATAATTGCTTCGTATGTTTGAATTATTCCTCGTAACTAAAGATAATTGGTTCGTAAGTTTGAATTATTCTCGTAACTAAAGATAATTGGTTCGTGTGTTTGAATTATTCCTCGTAACTAAAGGTAAAGGTTCAACCCCACGATTATTTTAAAGTGAGAGTCCGGGTAGAGGAGCTACCAGGAGCACACTGTTATGGATCTAATAACTCATCAGATTTCCGGCTTTCTCAGATGATTAATGAAATCTTCTTTTTTATTTGAGCATCGCCGATTTTTTGAGGATTATAAAAGTGTAGATCTAAAAAATAATAATAAAATTGTCTTAATTTATGCTTTTTGATAATTTCAGCCGTAGTTTACAGATAAAAAGAATGTCAACATACTTAGAGAGAATACATAACTTCACACACTACTACTACTTTGCTGTCACTCGGCATCGAATATGATGATCATCCAGCTATGATACAATGACATGAGTTATTAGGGATGTCACCTAGGATGGTGAGTTTTGAGCTGACTAAAGATACGGGACCTGCAGGGTCGTCCACATCCGTTGTACATGTGGAGGGCTGCGTCTAGTGCGGGAGGGGCGGTGGCAGCGTCTTTCCGGCGTTGGGGCTTGTTTGCTTCGGTTTGCAGTCGGGCTAACTCGAAAATATTGACACCTCATGTGGTGCTCCTCCAAGCGTTACGATGTGGAATAATCGACTCCCAGGTGAGGGGGTCGATTTGGCACTTTTCCAGGTTTGTCTTGAGATTATCCTTATACCTTTTAAATTGCCCGCCGGCGTTACGTTTACTATTCGTTAGGTGACTGTAAAGTAGTTGCTTTGCACACACACACACACACACACATTACAGCTCCCGAAGCACAGAATAAAAGTTAAAAATCCTTTCAGAAAAGCTGCCGTTATGTGTTCAGAGTTGTGTTCTCAGAATTCCTTTAATGGCCACTTTTTCTTTTAACCATTGTTGTCGTAATTACATCAATTTGCTGAATTCTAAACTTTGACCTGAAGTTGACCTCAATATTACCCTTCCTGGAATTTAAACAAACGTCACTTCAGGTTAACTTAATTCATGTTGTTTGTGGCTTGTTTATCACTGAAAAAGAGTAATTTTCTGTTCAGTTTTTCTTCGGTAAATAATAGATGTTGACGGAGTAATAAGTTGACTTTCGGAGAATTTCGTTTCTCTGGTTATTCGACCAAAACTTGACGTTCTTGATATTGAAAACCTTTTATGATAAAACTCAGATAATTCAATAGGAAAATGAGCGATTCTTTGGATTTTCTGCGTTAAGCACTAACACATTAATACCCTCAAGTTAACATTCAATTTTGGACAAATATTTCTTCATCGCTGTGTTTGTAATCGTTGAAGGAGGCGCCTCGTGAATGAAACAATGTTCTTATGATGTATTATTTGTGTTTATCGTAAATAAGCCATAATTATATCATGTTATTCCTTATATAAATATGTCAAGTCTGTGTTTCTCAGAGCAGGAGTCGGGATCATACCTGCTGCTGTTCACTTAAGGTCAGAAAAATATAGACAGATTTAATTGCACGTGACATTTTACATTTGACAACACCAACTACTGTATTTTCTTTACTATAAACCCAATTATCTATCTTCAGATAATTCGTAAATGTTTGAATACGATAAGATGTAAAAACAAAAGCTGAGATACTATTTAATATTATTCAAATTAATCACAAGAAAATGATATTCATACCGTTTTTGTAATCTATATCATGTATTATAAAGTCAGTTATATATACTTTGGTGTGTGAAGACGATATCGAGTAACAGCGAAGCAAAGATAATATATAACTGAAGTCAATTAATCGCCTTTAAAAACATTGGACACAAAATGAATACATGTTTATTCCTTTCACTGAAGATCATCTGATATTAAACTTGTATAATACCTGAATTAATCTCAGATGTTTATTATCATGACTTTATCCAGTCTTCATATATTCGTAATGTATTGGAATTTGTTAAGTCCTTGTCGTCCCCACTCAAGCGTTAAGTGAGTGTGTTGTCCTGCGAGTGTTCAGGAGGTGTACAGTTTTTCTTCCTACAAGATAATAGGAATGTCGGGTGATCGCTTTTTGCTTGACATTTTTTTTCGCTTACACCTCGCGCTTTATCCACTCATCACCTCACCCTCCACCTTCCCGGCTCCGCCATCATTCACCCGTTGCAGTAAGTTGGGTAGTCCTCTTCTTCCTGCCGCAGATGTGAGTGATCGTCTCCCCTACCAGCACAAGGAGGGCCCCTGAGAAGCCTAACCCTAGCAGGTAGAAGACTCCCTGCAGGTGGTGCATACTCAGCACCACCCTCCCGCCCTCCTCCTGCCAGAGAAAGGGAGAGGTTGAGAGAGCAATAAGGAAGAGAGAAGGGAAAGCAGAGGAAAGACCCTGAGAAATACAGCCCTAATGAAAAGAGAGGGAGGGGGGTAGGTTTCTGAGACCTTCACCTCGTCACTTATATTACACTTAACGCTTGTGTGTTTGATTAAGCGACTTGTTATCTCACATACAACCACCAGCCACCTACTTTATCCTGCTGATCCCGCTTCCACTCCTCCACCTGCTGAGAGTCGCCCGTCTGCTCCTCTCGTGCCTTCTTGGCTGCCGATCCGATAAGCTCGTTCATCCAGTGACTAATGAAGCCAGATTCGATCAGTCGCTGCTTCTGCATGTCGATGGCTCGCCTGAACGGGGTCCCCTTCCTGCAGTGAAGCCTTTACTGTCTCTTTTGTTAATGCGCTTTCTCTTAGCCCTCTATCTCCCCAAGCGCTTTCATGTAATAATTATATCAACTGTTTTTAATGCACTGCTCACTAAGCCTTAGATTGATCAGTCAGACTCCACATGACCCACCTGAAGGACCAGCCATAGCCACCGTAGTTGAAGTACTCCTCCCGGGCAATGTAGATGGGCGTGTACCCGAAGTCGTCAGTATAGAGGGCGGCAATAAGCGACTTTATCTTGTACTTCCAGGTGATGAGGGCGTGTTGGCCCTTCAACACACGCTCCATCTGTTCTGGGAATTCCATCACCTGTGGTAGGGAGTTAAAGGTGTCAAGTGATTGGTTGTTGGGATTGGTTGGTATGTAAAGAGTTGTGGTAGAGAGTGGAGTGGTACAGTGTGTGGAGGCAGGAAATAGACAAAATAATCTACAAGGGGGAGGAAGGAAATAGCGAGGAGAAGTACCGCATACAAAGAGCATTTGGGGATTAATATAGAGAAAAGGTGTTTAAGAGAGAACAGTAAGTGGCAACAGGACGAGTCTTGAGGTGAGGAACGTTGTAAATAAAGGATGTTACACGAAGGAAGATATAGAAAAATGAAGAAGGAAACGAATTAAGGAAGGGGTGTATTAAAGATGAAATTGAGGGAGATTAAGTTTTATGTAAATAATAGAATATAAGAGAGAGGGGTTATACAAGAAGCTGGGTAAGGTACACATTGTTTATATTAAAGGAAAATAAATATAAATAGTTGAGTTTCCTTTACTTTAAGATTGCCAATTTTGCATATAATAAAATATATATTACTTTTTGGCTGTTATTGTATGCACATTATATTTAATAGAGGCTACATGGTTTATGCCATACCAAAGTTAATTAAAGTTTTTCATAGTTTTTACGCACGTTGGATTTCTTTCAGTAGTTTGAACGATCTTACTCACAGCCGGGTAAGTATTTATCTTAACTCGGTGTTTTTTTCCTCATAGTGAATAGGTAAAGCTTGTAAATCCCCCCTTTTAGTCAGCACGGATCAGGACTCACTATATCGGCCTCTACTCTACTCTACTCACTTAGCGCTTGACCGATTATCTCAAGGTTTTTATAATATTTCCTGTATCGATCGTAAATAAGGTTCTCACATCAAAGGTGTCATCGACATGGTGGGTGGGTGACGTACCTCCATACCCTGGAAGATAGTCTGGATGGTGGGGTTGGTGTTGCGCTTGAACCATTCCCAGCCGGCGCCATAACTGGGCTCGTATCCCCAACTCCATCCATCCTCCTGCACCAGCTGTTGGAAGGAGTCAATAGCAGGGGAGGTGCCGGGCACGGAGAGGTGGGCGATCAGTGAGGAGCGATACACCACCGTAATGATTGTACAGTACAGCCACCACCACCCCACGAACATCTGGCCAGACAGAGGAACAGGGCTTAAGAAACGTGACCAGTGTAGGTGAAACAGAGAGATAGTTTAAATCACTGTATAGAATATGTAGACAACCTCATCCTTAGAAAAGATGTTGGATCGGGAGTAAAGGAAGAGCGAGGAAGCCTAGATCACGCGAGAGGAAAAACATGGAGGTAGCTAAGTGTTGGAGGTAATAAGGGACTGGGCGGAGGGAAAGAGGATACGATTGTCAAACCCTCGATTACCTATTGGTGGGAAGTACATTTGGAGGAAGAACTGGACGGTTAAATCCTACTCGGGACTTATAGGTCAGACGAGGGGAGAAGGTTGAGGAGAGGCGTAGATAGGGAGGAAGAAAGGGTTAATAAAATCCTCCCATTAATATCTAGGAGGACAGGGAGAGAGGGAGAAGGAAGGTACATTACCCTACAAACATGTGAAGGGAGGGAAGGGGAGTGTAAAAAGATGCCGCACGGGTACTGGGAGACATGAGAATTTATGTGTCACCTCCATAGATATGTAGGGGAATGAGAGAGAAGGTTGGGGAGGGCCCGGGATGGGGAGGGGACGAGTGTGTTAATCCAACGAACATGTAGAGAGACAAAAGGAGAGTGGTAGAGACAGAGATAGGGGTGGGGTGGGGTGGGGTGGGGTGGGGTGGGAGTACGGCATTAATACCCGGACTGTCTGTAGGGAAGGTCGCAGCGACGTGGAAAAGAACAGCCGCGGGAAGTGAAAGATAATTTACCTAGTTTAATATCTTCCTCACACACACACACACACACACACACACAGGAGTGCCCTAACAACTGAGTACTGCAGGAGGTTGGCAACTTTCACCCCCGACAAAAACATATCAGGCTGGTGTGGCGGAAATACTCACCCAGCGTTATAACCCCGACACATACTGAGCCGCAGGATGAGACAGGTCAATATTGTTATCGTTAATGTCACAAAAACAGATAATTCGATTTTGTCGATTGGGTGGAAAATTATATACACTCCAACACCTGTCTGTAGAGGAGACAGGTGGGCTACGGCTCATGGGAGTAGAGTAACTTAAAAACATAATGACTCGAATTTTATAAAACCAGTTAACTAAATTTTTCCCCACGTGAAAGAAGTCATTTAATTCTGGTGAAACAGTACAGTAACTCACCTGGCCGGAGGTGTTGGTGGGTATACCTGGTGGCGGCTCTTCGAACAGGATGCTCCAGGTGTAGAGGACGGAAATATCCAGTGGGAGGCCTCGACGACCAGAGGCCCTTGACCACCCCCTCTGCAGCGCCCACAGGATCAACCCCGCAGATACACTCGACACGAACACCGCCGCCCACAGCGCTCCTACCACAGTCATGGAAAGGTGGTGTGATGATGGTGGTGGGGGTGGTGTGTTCTCTCTCTCTCTCTCTCTCTCTCTCTCTCTCTCTCTCTCTCTCTCTCTCTCTCTCTCTCTCTCTCTCTTTCAGAATACTTCAAAGTTTATACCTGGATTCATTTTCATGCCCCAGAAAATCTTTTGTCTCTTACCTCTGTAGTTTAAGCCGCGAGTCTTGGCCAGGAACAATGTACTCCTGCCTCAGTGTTCCATTTGAACTTTGACCCCAGCCTGACCTTTAGCCTACTGACATTACTTGGCATTTACACGATTAACTTTAGCCTGTCTTTAACCCTCTTAATTCTGATGTGATATTTTATCCTTCTCAGACTGACTTTTTACCCCTGAATATCACTTAAACTCAAGCCCCAAACTTTAGCCTAACTTTTAACCCTAGTCTAATAGCTTTTTAAAGATCGCTCAACTCAGTTAGATCTGCATTCTCTCACCTTTAACCACTGGCCTTATTAGTGACATTAATCCTCATGGCCTCAAACGTATAACCTATCGTCTCTGACCTGTAAAGGGACGCACGAGAGCCAAATACTGAGGTAGAGGGCGAGGCTTTGACATGATCATAACGATGGGTTCAGAGGCGTAGATGCGCGTATAGTCGACAACCTGGTAACGTCCACGCATCCAGGAGAGCACCATGGAGAAATCTGCCTTGTGGTGCTGCAGAGTGCCGACCACCCCAGTCCAGTTGCCGCTCTCCGTTGACGTCCCCCACTGATTGTCCCAAGGTACCCGCATCTCATAACTACAGGGGAGAGAGAGAGATAAGAGAGATAGAAAGAGATGAGTGATTTTGTGGGTCTGAATCTTTCTTTATATTTGTTTAGCTGCCAGTCATTGTTGAAATTTAAGGTCCTTCGATCTGTATCTTTGTCTGTTGTTTGTTTACATTTGTTATCGCACACACACACACACACACACACACACACACACACACACACACACACACACACACACACACAACAGAGGCAGCAGGGTGGTGTGTTGACTCACGTGAAGTTGAGGGCGTGGGAGATGGCGGTGAGCATCCGTACGTCGATGGAGTCTTGTGGGGTGACGGTGGTGGCCTCGGCATCACTATCCCGACGGAACTCCATGAAGGGGAACCAGTCTAGCGTCACAATCTTGAAGGTGTGACCCATGAAGTCTCGGAACTGATCTGGGGGTTTAGTGTGGGATGAAGTAACACAGTCAGAGATGTTGGGATGAAGTAATATTATTGAAGTTGGTCAAGTTTTTTTATGAGTCGCCAACATCGAACTCCTTCACCTTACCTGTTTCGTGTTTATAGTGATTCATCAAAAATCGATCATAAGTAAGAAGGGGTGTGACTGCTACACAGTAAATCTCTCTTTTAATAACTTAAGTAGTGTTGATATCATGGCTCTGATTGCTCTCTACATTATACTTTACAGCAGCGAATTAATGTATAGGAAATTTTTGTAGCTGTACTGTACTGTACTGTACTGTACTGTACTGTACTGTACGTGATATAATTTCCAACACTCATACGAATACATGATTATCCTATCAAAGAACTCTAAGTTTAATTATGTAAACTCTGGCAAGCTTGACAACTGTTCTCTTAATTTCATCGAAAGCTTACTCTTCCAGGTCACTTTATATCTAGTAAGAGATGATGGTAATACCAATAAACAATTTATAACTCCAAGTTACTGTAATTTCTGAATAAGAATATTACATTTCAATAATAGACGTCAAGCGAAAGTTTTTCTGAAGCCATTTATTTTCTCTCTACTGCCATGCACGATGGTCACATTACCATCGAGTGTCTCTGAATAAGATTAAAGACGAGGGTCACACTAACGTATTTAAACGAATCCTTAAGTGCACCAGGTCATCATTCACCTTCCCTGGTAACAATGTAAAATGCCTGGATATGTTAATTACTTCCTTGGGGGTTGGAGACAGTGTGAATACAGCATAATAAATACAAAATCTCGGTTACATACAGTACAGGAGGAGGCAAAGTAGCTGGTAACGCACTCAGTCTTCATTTTCTCAGCTGAAAAGTTAGGTTATCATTCACTACTGGGTTGACTGGAGGTCCCCAGGACGTGAACCAAAAAATCTATTGGAACAGGTGGCGAGCGTTGTATCCAAGGAGGACCATAACACTAACCTGGGAAGAGCTTGATTCCTTTCTTGAAGCCTGTGAGAGGACTCCACTGGTCGAGCAGAATCACGTCCACGTGGCCAGAGTCACAGTAAAGGCAGCGGCTGTAGCAGTGCACCCAGCGCCTCCCTCCCCCTGCCAGGGATCACACTCAACAATTAGGAATTGCTGTGACGTAACAATAACGCATGACACTTTCGAGTCTTCTAACTTGAGATAATATGGCAACCATGTGATATAATGGAACATGTCGTGTTTTATAATGTAACCAATATGTTGACCACATTTACGAATATGTTGCCAATAATAGCAAGCAAATCGTGGAATATTTATCATCAGTAAAGTTAACCACACACACACACACACACACACACACACACACACACACACGTTCATATTTCATTTTGTAAATGGTTGTTAAATATTAACACCGATGGTCAGGTTTCAAAACGTAACCACTATAACAATTAATATTATGATCATATTTCATAATGTAGCAACCACATTTGTTTGTTATAGAAATGCTTCAGGACACATTGTCAGAGAGAGAAGATAAAGGTAGAAAAATAGAGAGAAAAAATAGAAAGAATAAAAGTGTGAGAGAGAGAAGAAGAGAAGGGGAGAGAAGGAGAAAGGGAGAGAGAAGGAGATTCATTCTCTTGTGGAGTGAATCAAACGAGATGTTTTCCCCTGGTAATATCAGTATCATATGTTGAGGTACTTGTACCCACCATCACCGTCACCTGCAGGGACATCCTCGTTGACTGACCTCCTGCCAGCCATCCCGCCCCTCACCCTCAGCGTCAGGAAATCCCTCGCCTGAAGGTCATCGAGGGCCAGGTAGAGGGCATGTGCGGTGTTGCGGAGGGCGTGGTGTCTGAGAGCCTCCTGCACGCCCTCCGAGCCCCCGAGGAAGAGGACACGGGTGTAGGGCCACAGATACAGGTCCACACGCTCTAATAAACTGTTAATTAACGATTAGTATTGTCTCTCGTCGGGGCATTGTTGGGATTGTTCATTTATGCCTTGTAGTGGTAGCAGTATAGCTCACTAGTCTCAGCATAGTTCACTAGTCTCAGCATAGTCACTAGTCTCAGCATAGTTCACTAGTCTCAGCATAGTTCACTCGTGTGGATTATATAATAAGATATCTCATTAGTAGGAAGTAAGTGTGTGTGTGTGTGTGTGTGTGTGTGTGTGTGTACAATAATAAACTTCTGTTGTTGAAAAACCACAAAAACATTTCTTCTATTCCTTTAATACACCCTCCTCCTTCTCTTTCCCTTCTTATGTCACCTCTCCTTCACACTCTTCCATCCCTCTTCCTCACACCCTACACCCTCGTTTATCTCCTTTCTCCGTTTTTTAATCATCTTTTGCTTTCACCTTCTTACTTTCTCTCTTCCTCTCCCTTTTACCCTTGCTGCCCTTTCACTTAGGATTCTTCTGCCTTCTTGTTATTCTCCGTCCCTTTGCTTATCTCCTTACTTTCTTGTTGTTGTGACCTTTCGTATTTAGCCTCTTCCTCTTTCCTTTACCCTACAGTCTTCTCTCTCTCTCTCTCTCATAGCACAAGATTTAATTCATATTATCGTTATTCATTCACCTACATTATCTATATTCATTTTGTTCCCGTCCTTGATTCCATCAGCCTCCTTCCCCTCTTCCTCCCCCCTCCCCCTGCCCCCTTCTCCCCCCCCCTTCTCCCTGCCCCCCTTCTCCCCTTCTTCTCCCCCTTCCCCTTGCTCCATCATCCGTGTCAACTTACTCAAAGGCCAAAGTTGCCGTGGAGCGAAGGCTAAGATCTACGAGGAAGGCTCGGCATGAGAACCGGCGGTCGCCCTTCTTCAACGCTTGCAGGAGGTGGCCTTCTGGGTAGCTGAGGGCATGTCGGGCGTCCACTACCAAGTACGGCATATAAGTCTCCCTCAACACTCTGTAGTAACCCAAACTCCTTGGTCAGATTATATGATTCTGAAACAAAACTCGGTCCTGTAACACATCGTATCTAAAGGGTTAAGCCATCGTACTCAAGAGGTTAAGATATCGTACTCAAAGGGGTTAACATATTGTACTCGTGAGGTTAAGCCATAGTACTCAACGGGTTTGACATCGCACTCAAGTTAAGGTATCGTACTCATGGGTTTTAACATATTATTCAAGGGGTCTAAGGCATAGTATTCAAGGGGTTAACAACGTACTCAAGAGGTTAAGATATCGTACTCAGTTTGTTCAGACATCGTACTCAAAGGTGTAAAAAATTGTACGTACTCGGGGGTTAAAACATCATACTCAAGAGGTTAAAGCATCATTTTCCTCCCAACTATGACTCCCAGCAGTGTTACCAACTATGACTCCCAGCAGTGTTACCAACTATGACTCCCAGCAGTGTTACCAAACATAAAAAATCCCACAGAACCCAGGATTACTTTTTTCTCTCTTTTCCCCCCACCAGATGGCAGGTCAATGGTAAACATATGACGATGATTGGTTCGTTGGTCCTCTCTGGTATATTTATATTGTAGTCATCTCGTACTTGGTTAACTTCTAACATTAAACGGACGTGGTGTAAGGGTCAACTTTGTCATAATTATCTGCACGTGTAGAGAACAGTGTAAATCAATATATAAACACAGTAATACACAACGTAAAGGAATACTACCCACCATGTCTTTACGCTTCGTGGTGTGTGGTAACTAACTGTTTCTCTCCTCTAATTCCTCTTAAATTCTTGGCTGATATTCTTCAAGTTTACCACGTACCCCTGAATTACCCCTCACCCCCTTGCCCCATCCCATTGATCTGTAATTCAATCATTTATGGGTAATTTTTCAAAAACTAAACAAAAAAGAGAATTTATATATAACTTTGACACAATAGGAAGTTAGTAATTCGTCAGATGGCCGGCAGTCCAGTTGCTCCCCATTGAGTGACCATTGAGGGAGAGCCCCACATGCTGCCAGTACCTTGATTAAGACTGTCATACGGTCGCCTGTGTTATCTAGCCAATTATGTGAGGGCTGTATGACGAGTGGGTTACACTGACGGAATATTAACTGTGAGAGCGTGCGCCGTCGTGTACGTTTGTGAGCGTGTTTGTGCAGCGTACGTGTGTGTGTATATGAATTTTTTTCCATCTGCCTACCTGTATGTATGTATGTATGTATGTATGTATGTATGTATGTATATTTCCCGGTGCATAGACCAGGCCTGGATATCAAGACTGTTATTATAGTAGATGAAATATTTATATTAAACTTATATACCGTATACACGTACAGTACATATCAGAGGAAAGAGAGCTGCAATTTTGTTTCCCAGAGATACTTAAATATACATTTATTTGTTACCAGTACATGCGATTATTTCCTCTTGTATAACGGGAAACAGAAATGTTGGTTGATATTTCAGTTGAAAGATGAAAAATTTACTTTTCGCTTATAAAAAAATGACTGTCAACCAAAGTTTTTATTTTTAAATGCACTCTTAATAGTGACTGGCAGAGCTGTGTATCCATGATAATTTTTTTTCGATTTCGATGGCCAACAGAGCTATATCAAGATACAACACTGACCACTGAAATGTTAGGTGCTCTCACTAAATGCAGTAAAAAGCCGCATTTTTTGTTAATTTTGTCGTGTAACTTGTATTGGAGAACAAAGTTTCGTGTAATTTTTATTCAATTTAGACGTTATTTTATAATTTACGAAGGAAAAATTAATGTACAAACCTTTCAGAATTTAAGCCTAGATTATTACACCTGACCTGAGTACAGGTGTGAAGACTGGGTGATGGTCGGTCGGGGTCACCACCACCAGGTGACACGTGGACAGGTGCTCCTTAATGATACCCGCTACCAGATCGCTCACATCCAGAGGGTCACCCGCAGCAACCGCCAACCCTGAAAGCTCAGGCACGATGCCTACTAAACTGGAAGTCTCACTCACAAAACGAGGTCTAACTTCAGCGGCCAACGGGGGGACGACTAACACCAGCATCCTCGCCACAACCATCCTGAGGGATTAGAGTCGTCTTTGTCATTTTTATCCTTGTGTCATATTGTGTGTGTGTGTATTAACAACAACAGAGTGCCAAAGCAGCTACTCTATAGCCATTTAAAGAATGACATACACTGCCAGCAGGGGTAGCCAAAACATCAATCACGACCTTCCAGTAGATCGCAAAGCAATTTCTGCGCAAAGCAAAGCGCAAAGCAAAGCTTTCTGGTAGATCGCGGGATGAATAGTAGCGACGTAGCCCATCAACAGACATTATACAGGTGCAGTATAGTACATAATTGGTAGCAACATTCATGACATGTTTTGTGTTTGCATCTAACAATCATTTAGAAAGGAAGAACATATTTAAATAATTTGGCGGGCAACTGAAAAGGTATAAGGTGGGTGGCAGTGGTTGAGGTGGGTGGCAGTGGTTGAGGTGGGTGGCAGAAGTTGAGGTGAGTGGCAGTGGTTCAGATGGGTGGCAGAGGTTAAGGTGGATGGCAGAAGTTAAGGTTGATGGTGGGTGGCAGTGGTTGAGATGGGTGGCAGTGGTTGAGATGGGTGGCAGTGGTTGAGGTGGGTGGCAGAGGTTGAGGTGAGTGGCAGTGGTTCAGATGGGTGGCAGAGGTTAAGGTGGATGGCAGAAGTTAAGGTTGATGGTGGGTGGCAGTGGTTGAGATGGGTGGCAGTGGTTGAGATGGGTGGCAGTGGTTGAGGTGGGTGGCAGAGGTTGAGGTGAGTGGCAATAGGTGAGGTGGGTAGTGGTTAATGTGGGAGTGGCAGAGGTTGGAGTGTGAGTGGCAGTGGTTCAGATGGGTGGCAGAGGTTAAGGTGGATGGCAGAAGGTAAGGTTGGTGGTGGTGGCAGTGGCTGAGGTGGGTGGCAGAGTTAAGGTGGATGGCAGAAGCGCTAAGGTTGGTGGTGGGTGGCAGTGGTTGAGGTGGTGGCAGTGGCTGAGATGGGTGGCAGTGGTTGAGATGGGTGGCAGGAGGTTAAGGTGGGTGACAGAGGTAAAGGTGGGTGGCAGTGGTTGAGGTGGGTGGCAGAGGTTGAGGAGTGCCAGTGGTTCAGATGGGGGCAGAGGTTAAGGTGGATGGTGTGGTTGAGGTGGTGGCAATGATTGGAGGTGGGGTGGCAGAGGTTGAAGTGAGTGGCAGTGGTTGAGAGGTGGGTGGCAATGGTTGAGGTGGGTGGCAGAGCTGAGGTGGGTGGCAGTGGTTGAAGTGAGTGGCAATGGTTGAGGTGGGTGGCAGAGGTTGAGGTGGCAGTGGTTGAGGTGGGTGGCAATGGCTGAGGTGGGGCAGAGGTTAAGGTGGGGTGGCAGAGGCAAGGTGGGTGGCAGTGGTTAAGGTGGGTGGCAGTGGTTGAGGTGGGTGGTAATGGCTGATGTGGGTAGCAGTGGTTGAGTGTGGGTGGCAATGGTTGGAGGTGGGTGGCAGAGGTTAAGGTGGGTGGCAGAGGTTAAGTGAGGTGGCTTTGGCTGAGGTGGGTAATGGCTGAGGTAGGTGGCAGTGGTTGATGTTGGTGGCAGTGGTTAAAGTGGGGTGGCTTTGCTGATGTGGGCGGCAGTGATAGAAGTGTGGTTGATGTGGGCGGCAGTGATTGATGTGGGCGGCAGTGGTTGAGATGGGTGGCAGAGACAGAGGTGGGGGATAGTGGTTGAGGTGGGTGGCAGTGGTTGAGGTGGGTGGCAGTGGTTGAAATGGGTGGCAGAGACAGAGTTGGGGGACATTGGTTGAAGTGGGTGGCAGTGGTTGAGGTGAGTGGCAGTGAGGGGCGGCACGGGATGGACTCGATGAACGACAGGAGATAACACACACACACACACACACACACACACACACACACACACTATCAAATTTCCTGCCTCCGTGATGCCTTTACCGTACTCTGCCAGTATTGCTTCCTGCTTGTGATTCCGCAGAGAAAAACGTGAAAAGTCGGTCACTAGTGCACCATAAAGATCGGAATTAGAAACAGGTTTAATCAGTATTTTTATATAATATTGTTAATCTATCCTCAATGTCGATTTGTTTATTTCACATGTACCAAAGTTTACACACTAAGAACCATTAATAGCGAAGAGGTGATTTTTTTTCTTCGTACGTACAGTTTCAGCGCTATACAGCAGGTTAGCATACTGTTTAAAGTAATTTCTTCACTGTTGTACATGTAACTGTGGGGGAACAGGTTGTTGTTACGAGCACAACTCGACACCTCATACACTCAAGTGGTAATAGTAGTTGCTGAGGACAATGCACAAGTAAAGCAAATGCCGTGCGACAATCTGTGTTTAATTAACCAGTAGGTTCACGTCTTACCTGAGAACAAACATAATATAGGACCTGAGGCGTCGTCGTCTCCTCCAGCCTATACTGTGGAACCAGTGTAGGAGCCTTACAGGTCTCGTGGACACCTCTTGCGACACACTGGGTGGGAGCAGACTCACCCTGGTATATGAGAGCCTTGTGTCGTCACCCATATGCTCCTTTCTTTGTTTCGTCAGCTGCTCGTGCCGACGTTAACTTTCCAAGGGGTGATATAATATTGAGTTTGTCTCATCATTCACGTGGAGACGCTGTGACGGACAACAGAGTGAGTGTAATGTGGCCTTGTGGCCGGGTGTGGCTTTGATGGCAGCTGTAACGAATGCACAATGCTGTGTTGTCACGCCACAGTCTCTACCATTATTCCATTTGATTAATAACTTAAAGTGTAATAATTCTTCAGAACAAAAAAAAAAGATTTATTTTATTCCACGGAACACTTACACTGTGTGTTACAACAGTGCCTTCCATCTGATGAATGTTGTACTTTATCTGAGAACCTTCTTATGAATAATGAAAGTTGAAATATTTTCCTTGATGAATTATTTGTTTTATTTATTTTTGTTTTTCTATACTTGTCCACATAATGTCCACGAAAAATTAAAGCCAATATATAGAACCGAACTGTCCAGTACAGACTGAACTTTTTCACTGGTAAATGA